AAGCATGGGGCTCACTGTGGCTGATGGGATCCACATCTTCATCTCACCTTGACTTCATGTTTCATTGCTGAAACCCTAGCTGTACAGTCTAGCCAGCTGGCCTTGCTGTGTCCCTGCAGGTTCACTAGCTCAGCTATATGTAGACGGGGCACTTCCTTAGTATCCCAGGAATGCCTCCCACAACACAGGGGTTCCCTGTGGTTCTCTTGGACTTAAGGGAAAAGCTTACAACCTAAGGCTCAGGGCTTCTTCCTGAGGGCAATTCCTGGTCTCCATGGTGACAGTTATGGCTACTATACTTTCAGTTAGCAGCAGAATTCTCCATAAGCCCAATAAAACAGGAGTACATGACAAACCTCTTTCCCCAGCATACTCTGAATAATGATTTGGCATGAAGGTGTCAACAGAAGCTTAAATTAAACAGAATATCATTGGTCCTAAACCTCTAGGCCAACAGTGGTATTATTCATCTGCAGGATCTCCTAGGGTACAGTAATGGTCTAATAACAATGAGATACCTGATCTTGAAAAAACAAGTAATTCCATATTTGGAAAAGGAATCAGTAACATATTTGGACCCTAATCTTATTCTATACTTTACTCTAAAATAATAACCCACATGTTCATCATGTCATTTGAGGTAAGAGAATCACTGTGAGTTTGAGGTCAGCCTGGGCCACCTAGTGAGTTAAAGACCATACTCATCGATATAGTAAAACCCTTTCTCAGAAATTAAAATTGTGAGAATTTAAAAAGAGTAAGAATTTGGAGAATGCTTCAAATCTCCATTTTTCCACCATCATTACCTTAAGACAAAAGCTAACAATTAGCTTTCTGGGAACATAGAAGGAAAATCAATTTTGGAGAGAAGCGCCTTTCTCAGAATTAAAGAACTTATTCACCACTTTGGGGATCATGAACCATAGAACTTACTGTGCTTTTTCAGCTCATTTGTATGAAATAGACAGTAGCTTCAGATACAAGAAAATGTTGTTTCAGTTCATGAAACTTCTTACTCTTCTCCAGCTCTGATTGTAATTCCTGTTCATTGTCTGAAATACTCAGTTCCACCTTTGAATAACAACAAGGCCCAAGGTGTATTCCCATGACAATGGATGTGGTGGAACAGGTAGAGCCAGAGACTGTGGAGAAGACCCAAACACGTAATAGGTTAAAATCAAATGAAAGGGAATAGGTTGTATGAGGACTGGGGGTGACAACTGCTATGCTTATTAACTTACTATTGAGATAAAGTTGATCGATACCCACAACACTTGAGAATCCTTAACCTAAAAACAAGTATCAGTAATCAGAGTTGAAGGCTCTGCCTATAGCTCAGTCTCCCGCAGGATCTGAGACACAAGGCCCAGCAAAGCAGGTCAGGTTGGCAATTGAAACTAGGGTACAAGAAGCTGGTGATATCATGGAATGGTCAGGAGACCTCACTCCAACTGCCTTCTCCATGTTTATACTCAGATAGTGAGTCTTGTCCAAGAACAACTGACGACAAACACTCTGCCGTTCTACGGTCTTAATACTCATGCCTTCTTGAGCCAACTTCTAGGACCTCTTTCCCAAATACTAACACATATTTCCCAGTGCTCTTCCTTATATATGAATAAAGTCATCAAAGCAGAAATCATTTCCAGACATTTTCCTTAGCACTGTCCTGAAGACATCTTGACACTTCCTTAATCATGAAAGCACATGTAAGGTTTTTATTTTTTAAGTGAAAAGTATAAAACAATGAGAATGTAAAAATCCAAAAGTATCACGATGGTCTTCTCTGAATATTTCTCCATTATTTCTAAATTCATTAAATTTACAAGAAGGAGCATTAAATAATACTAAGAAAATGAAAGGCTTATTTTAAATTTTTAACATTACTTCTCCATATTATTCTTGCTACTCTATTTTTATGTTGCATTGTTTTTTATCCCTGTGACATCTAGGGCTTTCATTTCACCCAAGTTCAATTCAACATCACTGCCTCTTCACATACAGAATGGTGGTGGTAGCAGGGCAAAGCCCGATAATGGATTTTTTCTTAATTTTGCTTTGTACATCAGTATTGACTATAGATGATAGCCATTCTGGTCCCAAAAGGGCTTCTTACTAGCATCTAAGTGAGTACAATAGTTCAGTGGATAAAAGTTTGTGTATGTTCAATGACTCTTTGGAAAACATTTGTAAATATGACACATTTTTAACTCTTCATTCAGTTCACCCATGTGTTCTGCAAAACTGAGCTCATAAGGAGCTTTTTATGGCGTATGGCTGGATGGGTCTGTGGGAGGTAACCTTGGGTTATGGATCCATGGCTGAGTTCCATTAACATAACATAGTAAGAGCCTATGCATGAGCCCAGGGTAAGGATGACCCACAGTACACAAGTGCAAGAGTGTTCAGAGTCAAGGAAGCTGAAGCTGAGCTCCCAGGCACTTGGGAAGTGATGCCCTGAGCAGCTTCTCTTCCGGTGGTGATCTCCACCTAGAATTTTGGAGTCTCTGGCTTCACTGGGCTCCTAAGCTAACCAGACCTGTTCAGATTATTTTCTGTGCTTACTAAAGTGGGAGAAACAAAAGATATGATTATGGGCCTGTGGAGATAGTTCAGTGGTTTAAGTGCCTGCCTAGTCAAGCACAAAGTCCTAGAATTCCATTCCTTTGACCACATGCCTGGCAGTCCCACCCTAGGTGCACACAGCCAGCCATTAAGATGGGGTGTGGTGGTGCAATTTTTTAATCCCTGTGCTAGGGAAGCTGAAACAGGAGGATCACTAAGAGTCTGAGCTACATAGTGAGACCCTGTAACAAATACATTGAAAAAAATTATCATGGGCCATTTGAGCATGTAAAGGTATTAAACCTCTAGCAGTTGCTGATAGACAACTCTAACAGTCACTTTTTTTAATGTTAGATGCATTTTTTTTTTTCCATTAGCAGTCACTTTTGAAAGACAGACTCTTCATGACAAACCATCTTCCAATTACACCTTGTAAGAATACTGGTTTTAGATGTATCTGAGGCATTAAAGAAATTCTTGACCATGAGTAGAAGTTACCCTCAGCCCACCAAATGAAGGATAAATTCAATGCACAGTTATTGCAGAACATGCCTTTCTCTAAAGTATAATATTAAATTGAGCTTTCTGGAGAACCAGTCCTAGCCCAGGCCTGGGAATTTAAAGTTCAACATATCAATACTTGGTTAAAAATACCTGTTCCATATTATGCCTAACATGTGTGATATGCAGACAGATAGTGAGCTTAAGCTTAACAGTCTAAGTTGTATGGCAATAACAATAAGCTTGTCTTCTGGATGGTTAACAACCTAAGTTTGCAGACCAAAATTAGAGAAAAAGGAGGGC